TCAACACAAAGTGGAGAAGCTGGCCAGAACCACAGTCCAAAACAGAGGAGCAGGTGTATTAGCTTAGACCATAATGCTATAAAAGGGGCAGTCAGAATGCTGGCGTGAGACTGCGCAGGCAGATTCACGAGAGGGCTTTGGCAGCAAGAGAAGGAGTGATAATACTGGAGGCAAAGCCATTCCAAAAACAAGTAAATACGTTCAGTAGTAAGGAGTAGGGAAAGTTCTACAAGTTAGATCTTGATGGGCCCCCAAGGCCCAGGAGTTGAAGGCTTGGGATTCATCTTCTGCAGCTACTTAGAGGTGGCAGAATCTGTGGGAAGCTGGACTGAGAAACATGAGGTCGCTGAAGGGGTCATGTGGAAGAGAACACCTGAGCACTTCCTATGGTTCTCACTGTCTTCCCGTGGCGGGCAGCGAGCAGGGTCCCGGTGCAGCCCCGTTACCATCGACCGCTTTGCCCCTGACTCAGCAGCAGAGGAGGTTTTTAGGGTTTGAACCTGAGAGCCCAAAGAAACCTTTCCACCTCGTAAGTTCCTCATCCCGGGCCTTGTGCCACAGGGATGGAAGGCTGGCGAGAAACAAATAAGACTAATTACCTAGAGCAGAGTGCTGAGCAGCCTGTGAAATAAGCAAGCGTGATGGCGACTGACTAGCAGCAGCCACAGATAGACACTTCCGTGGGCCTGGAGAGATGCAAGAAGGGAGCCAACACGAAATCAGAAGTGAAAATGACTTGTCCAAAAAGAAAGAAAGGAGAGTAAATTGGTTAAGACCCAGTGTGTGACAGCATTTGCTGATTATAATGAATATAAACTATAAAAAATACAGAGACGCCTGGTGGACATGGCCACCCCAAATTAGCAACTGGGCTAGAAGCAGAGGGTAACAGGAGGACTAACAAGTAGTGATCTACATTCCTCTCCCAGAAGACAGCCGTGTGTGTGTGTGCAAGCACACACAGGCATGCAGCAAGTGACGCTACAACGACACAGCGGCTAGGAGACAGAAGTGAAAAGAACACAAGACAGCTGAGAAAAAATACGAATTTGGACTTTCTAATAGAACTGTATTTCCAAGTATCTAGGCACTGCAGTTTACACCTTTAAACATTTAATTATCTTTAAGTAGTTGTACCAAGGAGTTGCCATTTATAATTCATACTTTTAAAAACGGGCATTCGAGTGGTTAGTTTGGGGGGAGGGTCGTGCGAGGAAACATACTGAAAGAAAAGTCTTTGGACTTCTCACCTCTGCCTCATGTCTCCTCTTTAAAAAGCTGCAATTCCCTTAGGCTGTATTCATCCCCTTGTGACCTGGCCACATCTTCAAGTTCTCAATCTCTCACAAAATAGCACTAATCCTTACATTCACATTTATAGATCTGAATTCATAAAGTAAATAGAAAATTGGGCTCTATGTAGCACATGAGCCACGGAGCAGTCGCACAGGATTTTATTATCAAGGAATTACTCCATAAAAGCAAACCATTTCCGAAGCTGCGACTGGAAACCCATAAAGTCAAGGTCTTTTGTTTTCCTACATGTGCGTGTCATATTCCATAAAACAATTAGTCCCATCACTTTAATCAAATGGATACATCCTAAGCCCTGTTTACACTCATCTTAAATTTAAGTAGCAGATGAGTGTAAAAATCCATTTCTGGCATATACTGAAGTTAAATTATAGTCATTCCAATCGCCTGAACAGACAAGAGGACCAAAAGTAAATGATCAAATAAATGCTACTTTATGAGTGCAGGATACATATTTAATCATAACTTTGATAATATCCTGCAATTCATTTTGTAAAAATAATTAAAACAGAGACATACAATTTTTATGTCTTTCTAAGGAAAGGTAGTTAGTTACTTGGAGAGTGTGCAGTAGGGGTGATTTAGTACATCTAATGTTCTAACCTCACAAGTACTTTACAAGGCTTTCTGTTAGAAAAAAAAAACATAAGGCAAAGTTACATAATTCCATGTTTTATGATCTGGAGAGCCAACATAATCATTATATTTATTTTTGCTATGAAAATCTATAGTAAGTGCACATGTTATCTCTGCCAGGTGCTAGTGAACCATGTCTATAATCCTAGCTACTCAGGAGGCTGAGATTGGAGAATCTTGGTTGGGGCCAGCTTGGGCATACAAATAGACTCTTATTGTTGATTAACCAGCCAAATGGTTAGAGCTGAAAGTATGGCTCAACTGCGAGAGCAACAACTATGAGCAAAACTTAAGCCAAGTGAGAGTTCAAAGCCCTGCATTCAAGTCCCAGTACCAGCACACACACACATACACACACATAACACAAAAGAATAAGAATTGAGTTATGCTGACGCTGTGGCATAAAGACATACTGATAACAGAAAAGAGGTACAAATACCAAATCCAATCTTCATTACTCTACTCCCTGCCACAAACCATTCCTTCCACTACATAAGCACCTTAAAAATACGTGGGGCAAAGCTGACCAGGAAATGATGTCCTAAGCAACTCAACAACTACTATATACATAAATAACATGGCAGTAAATACAGCAATATTATAAGGATGTTCATCCTCCATCCTCCTTGTGCAGAAGGTATCATATGATAGAGGTGAACCAAACAAAACTCACAAAGTGAACACAGTAAACTGTGGGTGATGTCATTATTCTTAGTGGTCAACATGCAAAAATCACAAAGCAACCCTGACTCTACCATAATCCTGACTCTATTTTCTGTCAACTGGCCAACCACATCATAGGCCTGTTGCTTTTCCTGGTGTAGTCATGTTCCAAAGGATCAGGTATTCGCACTTCTAGGAACAAATATTCTCAGTAAGCTTTCAATCCATCAACTCTCCCAAATGTATCTTTAAAACTTTATAGGCCAAGAGTTGAGCTTTACAAAGGAGGAACGCCTGACTGAAAGGTCAGAAGCAGCCCGAGTCAGACCAACTATGATTTCATGGTAGTTCAGTGGGCCAGCCTCTAAATCGAGACTGCCTCTGCTTTGGATCTACCTGACACACGCATCCTCCTTACTGCCTCAAAGCAACAGCAACCCCGAGAAGAAGCCCCCTTCTAATGGCTACACTCCAGTTCAGGTGCCACTGCCGGTGACCAGCAGAGACAAGCACGTGCCCTCCGGGAAGCCCCTGTGGCTCCCCCAGCTCATCCATCTGCTCCTACGGGATTTTAGATATTTGAATTGTTATTTGATGAGCCCCATGACCTTGTTACTTAGTCACTGTTTGAAATAGATCAAACCTTCACCTCCAAATACATCAGGGTTCTTGGTCAACAAAACTTGTCAGTCAGTCAACAACTATTTGCAAAACACACACAGGTACACAGCATTTTATGGTAATTGATATTTATACCTTCAACTCTCAAGGAACTCAAAGTCTAATTTGCCTTGTTTCCCTTATTAGTCAGTCAAATATTTACTGAGCAAGTGGTCTATGGAGCTGGCATTGTTTGCTGCAGTGGGGAAGTTTAGAGACCTGAAGTGAGGCAGTGAGCCACAGAGACTGGGAGGGAGAAAGAACGAAGATTCACAGCAAATGCTCTCCTAGGCAAGCCTCTAGGGAAGTCTTCGGGGACGAGGACGTCTGGTGCTACTGAGATTCAAGTCTGGACAGCACTGGAGTCTGGAGAGGCAGCGGGCGGAGGGGCGAGGACAGCCTACACGGCATGTTTCCCAGAGCAGAGGGAAAACCAGCAAGGAAGAACTGGTAGAACTGTAGAGGACACTCCTCCTATCTGGGAAGATGGAGCCAACTTAGAAAGATCTGAGCTTGAGGAGCGATACAAAGGTGTATTTACACGGAAATGAAGAGAGGTGCTGGGAGATTAGAATACACTAGAGAAGGCTGCAAGGCAAGTGTGCTGTGTTTGTTTGGTCTCCTACAACTCAAGTGGGCTACGCATTAACTTCTAAGTGTCCAGTCCCAGTACAAGAACGAGAAATTCTAGAAATAAACTGAAATAAAAATCCAGATTGAATTTTTTTTTGGTAGTTTTGAGGCTTGGCTTGCACATCCAGGTTTGCATATAATAACCAGACATTTTATTTTTCCTGGTCCTAGGTGCTGAGGTCCTTTTTGGTCAAGGCTAGCGCTCTACTACTTGAGCCACAGTGCCACTTCCAGTTTTTACTGTGATTAATTGGAGGTAGGAGTCTCAGGGACTTTCCTACTCTGGCTGGCTTTGAACTGCTATCCTTAGAACCCAGCATCCTCAGTAGGTAGGATTACAGGAGCAGGCTTAATCCTACTTTTAGAATAACAAATCGCCTTAAAATGGGCACTAGTCACGTCGTGGGAAAGCCTCCCTGCTGGAGCTGCTTGGCTGCTTTCATTTCCTTCTTCAACCCGAAGGATTAGTTATTTTTACTGTAAAGGTGATGTTCAGAGGGGTTACAGTCTGGTAAGTCAGGTGAGTGCATTTCTTTTTGAACAGTGTCATCCCCTCCCTCATTTCCTCCCAATTCCTCTCCCCCAAATCGTATAGTTCATTTCCAGCCTAGTGTCTAGTGAGTACCACTGCTGAGTTAGCTCATCCCTCGGTCCCACTGTTCTCTTCGTATCATATCAATCTTGTGCCTTTCAATATGAAGGGTTTTTGTTTTTGTTTTTTTTGGTCCGGTCATGGGGCCTGAACTCTGGGCCTGGGCGCTGTCCCTCAGCTCTTCAGCTCAAGGCTGGCGCTCTACCACTTGAGCCACAGCGCCACTTCTGGCTTTTTTTTTCCTGCTTATGTGGTGCTGAGGAATCGAACCCAGGGCCTCAGGCATGCAAGGCCAAGCGCTCTACCCCTGAGCCACCTTCCCAGCCCTCAATATGAAGGTTTTAAACTGAACACGCAAAACCCAACCTATTGCCTCTTTTCTCCTGCTAGAGAAATTAAAATTGCAAGTAAGAAAGTAAACTAGTAACCCGAGGCTAACTGTGCTCACATTCTAAAAGGCGAGCAGGGAGTGAGCAGGGCGTGGCAGTCACAAGGTACTCACGGTTTTCCTCCAGGAATGCCGGTCAGGTTTGGCGGTATCGCTGGCACACGCATATGGTGGTGTGGATCAAATCCCACCTAGAATGTTTCCCAAACAAGACAACATACACAAGCACAATTATATCCACTTGTTTTTATCTTAGTTTCTTTTCTAAAACCCGGGGCAATTTTTTGAAATTACATGTTTAAAGATATGAGCAGATGCATTTATTGATAAAGCAACAGGGATCTAAGACTTCCATATGCAGGGATGGAACTCAGATCAAACAAACATACTAAGTGAAGCACTTAACAGAAGCACAGAACTAATTATATTCATTATTCTAGGCAATCTAGTTCTGTAGGTTTAAAATGTCAAAAACAATATTAATTTTAAAAGATACAAAGCCAAAGAAACTTTCTACCTTCCAAACAACAAAAACCCCTAGACATAATCATAGGCAGCGTAATTTACAAATACACTCTCCTACGTCTATGAAAACCTCCTCCAGTGCAAAGTGCATTCAGAGCCGCTGAGCGTACCACGGGGGAGCGTCCGTAGGCGGCGGCGGCGGCGGCAGCGGCGGCGGCCGCGCTCATCTGCGGGGAGATGTTGTGCAGCCCTGCGTAGGCAGCTCCTGGGCTGGTCAGCTCCCCATTCATGCCAGCATGAGGAACAATCCCAAACGGGGTGGGGTATGGACAGGGTACGGCCATTGGAGTCCTTAAGCTGGACGCTGCAGGACACAGTGGAAGGGGGAGGAAAAACCAAGAGTACATGAAGTAGTCCTGAAGACGCCTTTTAATATGTTTAAAAAAATGGCAGCCTGCCTGGTGCTGGTGGGTCATGCCTGTAACCTCAGGAGGCGGAGATGGATGGATCACAGTTCAAAGCCAACCCAGGCAAAAAAAGTGGGAGAGCCTTGAGCACAAAGAGGCTCAGAGACAGTGCCCAAGCTCTGAGTTCAAGCCACAGAACTGGTAGGGGACCCCACCCCCAAACCAACCTATAGAACAACTGAATGAATTTTAACCTCAACAGTCATTCAAGTCTTCAGAGGATTCATTCATTCCTCTTCTTTTTTTGTGTCAGCCTTAGGGTTTGAATTTATGGCCAGGGCACTGGTTCTGGAGCTTTTTGATCAAGGCTAACACTCTAACACTTGAGCCACAGCCCCACTCTCTTCTTTTTGGTGGTTAATTGGAGATACATCTCATGGCCTTTCCTGCCTGGGCTGGTTTGAACTGCAATCCTCAGATCTCAGCCTCGGGAGTATTAGCATTATAGGCATGAGCCACTGGTGTCTGGCTCATATATATATATTTCTTTCTTGCTGGTACCAGGACTTAAACTTAGGGGCTTGGGTTTACTTGGGTGTTATGCTTATGGATGGATTCTGCCACTTGAGTCATGTCCCTAGCCCAACTTTTTTTGCTAATTATTTTTGAATTGGAGTCCAGCATATTTTTCTACCTGGCCTGGCTCTGAGTTTTAATCCTCCAGACCCCAATCCCTTGGGGATTATAAGGAGCTGCCTCCCAGTACCAGGTGGCATTCATGTTTTACTGATTACCTTCTATGTGCTAAACATGGCTAGTTGAGGATAAACAGCTTTTGGTTAGTAGCCCAACCCTGGGTCATCATGTTAATGTTTTTGTTTTTGGTTGGCTGGTTGTTGTTGGGCTTGTATTGGGTTTGGCTACAGTCCCTGGGCCTCTGTGTGCTCAAGGCTAGAACTAGCAAAGCACCACTTCTGGTTTTTGAGTGGTTCTAATTAGAGATACAGGTCTCACAGGGACTTTGCTCCCTGGGCTGGCTTTAAAACGTGATCCTTGGATCTCAGCTTCCTGAGTAGCTAGGATTGCAGATGTGATCCACTGGCACCTAGCTTAATGTACTTCTTAATCACTTTAACTTCTTTATAAAACAGAAATATAAATATAGAAAAACACGTGTCTCACTAACCCAAGGGATCCACTCCTGGTGGTTTTCCTGGTCCAGGCCTCAATCCTGGGGTGGAGTTACTGCCTGGGGTAGGCGCATCTGTGCGTGGAGTAGGGGTACTGGACTTTGAAACAGGAGTAGTAGATTTTTCATTCTGACAAGAGATGTACCAGCCATGAGAACACAGATTTAACAAAAGTGTTAATATTAAGGTGAACAAAACACAAAGGAAACGGAAGAAGAGAACAGCAAGGGTTTCTTCAGCTTGGTTTTTTACATTAATAATGACCTAGGAAAAGCAAAGGAGGTTGGATCCAGAGGCCATGCACTAAAGCTGACTTTATGGAGCTGACCATTTCTAGAAAACAAGTCTGAGCTGGAAGGCAAAAAAGTGTTGGCAAGTCAGGGTGTTCTATGGGTAGTGGGCTACTTGTTGGTGGCTCTGGACTCAGAACGACTGGTTTAAGTGGTACCCAGGGAACTGTTACGTTGGAACTGGCTTTGCCCGGGTAACAGGTGCCATCAGAAAGACCCAAACCTGAACTTCCACAGAGACTCGGAGCAGGGAGCTGCCACAGAAAGGCCAGAAGGGCAGCAGAGAGCAGGAAAAATCAAAAGCGAGATAACAAAACCTAGCACAGTCTTTCTGCTAGACACATCTTTTTAATTTGCACACAAACTGTAGAATTTTCTTTCCTTTGGCTGTGAACTCAAAGGTATTTGAAAACTGAATTCAGCTTTTTTTTTTAAGTGAAGGAAATAAAGAGTGACATAATTAGTGAAGCAAAAAAATGGACCACACAAAAATCCCATTAATGGCACAGCCACAGAAAGAGGCATGCAGGGAGATTATCCTGGCTTGTAAGCAGTTCCTTTTTGCATTTGTGATCTGTGGTGAGTCAAGATAGACTTTTGTAAGTGCCAGATTATTCTTTAGGTAGGAAGGGAACATTATTGCAGTCAAATATAGCTGGGTAATTCAAGCAAACCTAGTAAGAAAATGACACTGAATTTCCCAAGTTCATGCTGAACTACAACCTGTCTTCATACCCCAGTGTGGAGATGTATCTCCATTTATCCATATCCCTCTCCTAATCTTACAAAAAGACTCCAAAAGAAACACTCTTTACTGACAAGTTAGTAGATCTTTCTACCCTAAAAACACGTTGGCTAAACTAAACATAAAACACTAGACATATACATCATTTGGAAATCAACGCCCTGTAAAAAGGTAAATAACGTTTAAAATCAAATTTAATCTTAAATCTGTCTTTAAACTGGCGGTAACAAAGAAGATGAAGAAAAGCTGCTCACAAGGCTAAGTTCTTTGGATTTGGAGGAAGGAGTACTGCTGGAAGAGGCGATGGAGGCGGGGCTGATGGGGGCGTCCTTCTTGAGCAAGCGGGTCTTGTCCAGGCCATTCTCTCGTGGGGAGTGCGCTGGGCTCCCGCGCGGGGAGGAGGGGTCCTGCAAAGGAATACCAGGGGCAGCAACACTTACGCTCATGCACAGCACAGGGGTCTCAGGCGGGGACATTTTTAGCTGAGATGTTAGCTAGAAGTTTACCTTAAAATGCACTATGTTCTGGAATAGATAACAACAATCCCTCAAATTATACACATTAGTAATTACTGTACATTCATTGTCTATTACTTATTATATAAACTAAGTTATTTATATAATTATATATTGTATATTATACAACTATTATGTATTAACTATAATATCAATTATAATAAGTGTATCTATATGTATGTGTATATATGTGTGTGTGTGTGTATATATATATATGTATTTGGTTTTAATACATATATATATATATATGTATTTGGTGTGTGTATATATATATATATATATATATGAATTTAGACTATTGATATAAAACAAATAATAAAACCCCACCCATTTGCAATCTGCTTGGCAGTAAGATCTGACCACTGACTTCTGACGCTGACTAGAACTGGCAGAGAACTGTACTTGCTCATCCCAGAAAAGCATCAAGGAACACATCAAATCAGCAATAAATAATTTCTCACCTAAACAGCACATGGCTTCATAAGGACACTGGCAACACTGTTTTAGCTACTACTGGTGTGTCCACTAGCCTTCGTTACAGCTGGGTAGGAGTGGGGAGTCAAGTTACTCTAGAACATACCTCGTTGGAGACGTCCACCACCAAGTTGTCATCACTCTTCTCGCCGTCACTGTCCTGGATACATAAAGAGGAAATGTTATCTCCAGCCCAGACGAAAGCATTCACAGAGTTAGCTAGATGTACATAACATGAATCCCGCCTAAACTCTCCATATATGAAAAAAACAAATGTCAAAAAAGTATTCAACTCCTGACTATCTGCTTAACTTTAATCTTCATGAAGAGTAGGTAAGGTGGGCAGTGATTCCATTTTCCAGTTTAGAAAATGGGAGATTTGCCTTTTAAAGAAAATTTGTTAAGTAAGTGTGCAAAGGGCTTCCGTTTCAGCATCTGAATTCATTAAAAAAAAATACAGAACAACAAAAACTTAAGTGAATGGAGAGACACTTTTAGATACTGTACTTACAGTATGTAAAAATACAGCATTTAGAGAATACATAAAAACGAGTTCCTTTTTACAAACACGTAAGCAACTATTAATAATAAACTAGAAGGGGGTCGAGAGTCATGGGGGGTGTCTGATTAACTGGAATACACTGAAAACCCATGTGGAAATATAATGATGAAATCCCCCTCCCACTAATGTAAGCTCATAATAAAAAAAGGCAAATATAAGAAAATGGAGGGGAATGGCTTATGACTGTAGACAGAGCTGCAAACTGCAGCTCTGCAGGGGTGGGCCGCGTTTGGAACTTAGCTGCCACAGTGTTGGAGTGAGAGGCAAACCCCCGGGTTTCTGGCTTCCTGTGAGGTCTGCAGTTCTCAGGAGGGAAACCGAGCTGCAGCCACCTGCTGCAACACAGTTCCCACCCACCTGCAGCTCGTTCTGCTGTGGGACCTCCAGGCCTCCGTAGAAAGTGAGCTTCCACCATGCCAGGGACATGTTACCTGTCTGTCCACATAACTTACTAAGGGATTCCTCAACACACAAGTCTAACAAATTTTCTATGATGTTACCTTTTCCTTTAAGTCACAGAAAATGCCTGCACCCTGAAATACGTAGCAGGGAGCAAACAGCTCTCTGAAATTATACCACAGAATCCCCAAATCTGTTATTAGCTGCTGGATAAAGAGTCTAGCTTCTCACATACAAAAAGACATGCATCTGCTGCACACACACAGGACGTCAGCAACTCAGAACTATCAAGGAGAAAGGTAACATATTTTTTTCTCCTAAAGAATGTTGTCTTGTGTTGTAGGCTTTGATGGCGATAAACAGCAAAGCTAACTAGCCTTCCGAAAAGCACAGAGGAATGAACTTACGTAACGTGCTGCAATTTCCTTCTCCTCAGTTTTCTGCTTCTTGCTCTCTGAGGAGTAGTCGGAGGAGTTCCTGTGCTTCTCAGCACCTCGGAAGCTGGCCGATGGGGATACCGAAGAGCTCTAGAATTAGAAAGCAAAAGCACAGCTGAGAAATACCACTCATTTAGCAGTTGTATTTTTAAATCACTTGAGACCTTTTTTACGTTTTTGTTCTGCAGTATACACTTGGAAAGCAGCTAAGAGGACACAGGAGAGAGGGGAGAAGTTGAAAAGAAGAAAATAGAGAGGAAAAGGGGAAGGAGGAGAGTAAGACAAGGTGGAAAAGGAAAAGGGTAAGGAAAAAGGAAAAGAACAAGGAACAGGAAACAGATGGTCAGGGAGGAGAGGAATAAGAAAGGACAATAAGGCAGAGCATAAACGGCTCAGAATGGGTTTGCTCTCAAGTACACGTTCATATCATACTGTTAAAACATTTCTACAAGCTTGGGAAAGGAAGAAAAGATAATTCTTTTAAGGGTGCTGATTAATGAGAAGCCATTATTTGGAGGTCCTAATACAGAATTGAATTTAAGCAATACCTAGCCATTTTTCAATTTCAAAAAAAGAGGGCTAGATGTGATGCACATGCCTATATTAGCTACTCAGAAAGCAGAGATAGGAGATTGTGGTTCAAGGCCAGCCAAGGCAAAATAAACAAGCTGGAATGGTGACACACACCATAAAGCAGCTACTCAGAATTCAGTGGTAGGAGCACTGTCGCCCAGGGCCAATCTAGGCAAAAGCATGAGAACTCAAATAAAATCAAACAAAAGCGCAGAGGATTGGGGGCGTGGCTCAAGTGGTAGATCACGCTGAGTTCAAAGCCTAGTACACCCAGGAAGGATGGAAAGGAAGGAAAGAAGGAGGGAAAGACAGAGAGGCAGAGAAAGTCAGGGAAGGGAAGAGGAGAGGAGGGGAAAAGGGGAGGAGCAGAGAAGTGTGAAGTAGAAGGAAGAGAAGAGAAAGTTAAAGAGAAAAATATTTTGTTTTTCCCCCAAAAGATGAAGTATAACAGGAAAACACCTGCAGCCAGGAAATTCCTTTCTTTTTGACTCTTAAAGTTTCGTAAGTCTGCTATAATTTTGCTTCTGGAATCTCAAGAAGCTGAGTGGAGCTAAAAACCAAAAACCAAAAAACCAAACCAGGTTCACATCTCCAGAGACCCTGCTCGCACTGCTTGCAGCCAGCTTCGGGCTCAGGCAGTGAATTCCCACCTCTGCTCTGAACAAGCTGACTGAGGGAAGCCCACACCGCCCGCGGCTCTAATGAGAGCTCGAGGCAGAACGGAACGGGCCTCTCTCTGCAGCAGGAGCAGGTGGCGACTGGGCACCTTTGGGTGGTGTGGAGTCCAGACCTACGGATGAAGAAGTGGAATCGGAGCCGCTGTGTCCTGAGGAACTGGCCAGTGATCATCACTGCCCCAAGAGAGGATGCGAGGGAGAGAGGCGCGGGAGGGGGGCGGCCTGCCCTGGGCCGCTGCTAAGGAGGAACTAGCAAATTCCACAGAGAGGCACACAGGATGGGACTGCCAAGGGCAAAACTAACGCAGCCTGGAAAGAACAGGATAGTCTTGGAAGGCAGTAAGAAGAACATCTGGAGATAGAGAAGAAAGTCCTACAGAGACAAGAGTATCAATCTCTACAGTGACATCTTTGCTAGGCATGTCAACAATCCATTCATCGAACTTGTCAGTAAAGCTCTCCTGGTTTATAACTTATCTTCTGTATTTCATATGTAGTTCACTTGAACTTTTTTTGAGTCTGTTGGTAATAATGAACATTTGTGAAGGTAGACAAGCTTTACCAGGGCCTTTAAATTACAGGAAGCAGTGTCACATCCAGAACTTTGAGGCTCTAGGTTCCATTTTACTTCCACATCCTCTTTTGTGGCAGTTCTAAAACATATTATTGGAGGGTAGTGGTTAGTGGAAGACAGAGATGGCAGCCATGAATGAATGGGTGCCAGCATGAGGGCTGGATAGCTCTAACTCTGTCTTTGTGGGGCCCAGCCCTTTGCCAAGCCTGGATCTTGTACATGCTAGGCACGCATTCTACCATGAAGCTACATCCGCAGCCCCTTTAAGGAATTGTAAAAGCAGAGTACAGACTCTGTTATCTGTATCTCCACTGAGCTCCAGCCTTCATTCAATGTTCCCTCTTCACTTTCACATCACAATTTAATGCAATCTGGTTTTTATGACCACTGAACCCATGAGCCCAGGCTCACCCCCATATTTCAGACCAGAATCTCATCCATTTTCTCCTCATTTGTGGAATTCCTTACTCTTCAAAGACAGATTTTTTTTGACCCACTTGTCTTTACTCTGCCTTAAAACACACACACACACACACACACACACACACACACACACACGGACTTTTTTTCCTTCCATTCACAGGAAATAATTTTGAACTCTTGAGTGTAGCTGCTTCCAAAGTCCTCTTTTCCTTACCCACTCCACAGTCCTGGCTATGTCTCCAACATTAACATGTCCAGCTTGTGTTCCCGGAGGGCTGTGTATTTCCCCTGGCTTACAGAAGGGCTCTTTGACTCAGTTATCTCTCTGTGAGCAGCCTCCTCAACCCTAAGAACCAGTTCGAATGTCCCTTTCCAGAGCTGCTTCGGGTGCTGTCAAGCGGAATGACTCACTCGTCCTGTTCCCTTAAAACATTTGTTCACTTGATGATTGGAGCATGTGCAACGAAGGTACCTCGGTTTGTACACAGATCCACCTCCCGCCGAGGCCGTGGTGCCCCCGGGTTGGAGGTGCCCAGCTCCACCAGCAGCTGGGAACCAGCAGAAATGTTTCTAAACGCAAATGGGTCACCATGCTCCTGCAGGCCTCCTGCTTCAGTCTAGATTCAAAACGCACAGGATATATGGGTGAAACCGCAGACATGAGAGCACTAATTTTTATCAGTTAGAGTACTGATTTGCCAATTCCGACCACTCCCTGGAGTTGGCAGAACACAGCTCTGCTTCTCCTCACTCCTGTCCACCTCGAGGCGCCTTCTCCTCCTCATTTGACATTTTACAAAAAGAAGAAATGTTCAGCCTGTTGATGCTAACACACTACACACCAAGTTGTCTCCACTACTGCAAGTTATTTTTCAAAAGGGAAAAATGGCTTCTAGACAATGATGAACTACCCTCTTAAGATCTGATGCTAAACAGGAATGTCTACTTAGACCTTAACGCTCACTCACTGGCTCTGGCTTTCTCGAGGTGGCCGTTTCTGGTCATGTGGGCAGCATTTACTCTTGAATTTGTACTGCGGGACAGAGTTACACGCTGGAGTTTGCTAGTGAAATGATAAGGTAGCTAATTATCTCTAGCATTTAAAGGTTAATCTCTGCAGTGGGCAGGAGGGCAATAAGCAATGTTCTAATAACATAATTGCTCTGGAATCCAATTGGATTTGGCTGAGATTCACATCATAAATCTTAGAAATCACTACTCTGCCCCTTCGATATAGGCTGGGCATGTGAATAAAGGAGAATCAAATAAATACTGATAAAGGCAGTGAGGCCTGTTTTAATTTCTATTATGATTTTAAAAGGTCAGCTAGGTTAGCTATTTCTATAGCTTATTACCTCAGAAACTGACTGGAGCTGCATCATGACAATGTGTGAATCTATACAGTTAGGGATATTAAAGACAATCTTCTCACTATATTTTGATCACACTTATCAGCAGATAGGTTATGAATGCAAAGTCACAGGAAGGAGCAAGGTCCAAACCACAAGAGGCAAAATAACCTTGAGTGTACCTGTTAGAGGGTACACTTTTACCAGGGTAATTTAAAGAGTAAGGTAGATGTGTTGAGCTGAGGAAAAAGGGGAAACAGTGCAGTCCGCCTGGCTAGATTGTAGACTGGGATGATGAGCGATCGTGGATCTGTTCAAGGCAGTTGTAAGGAATATTCCATACCGTCTCCACGAGACACTTTCTCATTTGAATTCAAATGTACCCCAAGCTTGCCACTTGTATAGGCACAAAGCTCAGACATCCCTGCCTACTTAGAAGACCACAAATAGAAAAAAAAGTGAAAGGCTGAGTGGATAATGAAGATCAGGCACCCTGGAACGCACTGGCTACGGCTTGCCCATTAGTGATGATCTACATGGCACCAAAGGACTGAAACAGATAGAGAGAGCAACACAGAGGCAGAGGGCATCCTGAGAATGTTTAACTCCTGGATTGTTCTTTGTTGTCCAGGCTTTCCTTTATTCACAAGAACAGCCTAGGTTTTGAGACTATAAATTACATTGTTTCTCTAGCTGTAATTCATTCAGGCATTCTCAATTGTGAACCGGGGTCAGGACAAGTTAGGGTTAGTTTGTATGCTGGGCAGGACAGAGAGGGGTATCCCTATAGACCACTTCTTGAGGCCAAAAGCTAAGTCCTCAATTATAATTCCTCTACAACCTCTCAGAAAAGCCAGAGGCCAATACACAGGCCAGAAATCAATTCTACTGGCTTTACTGAATTCAAAAAGGCTGAGGCATTGTCACAGATGCACAGAGATGCAAAATGCTCCTTCCATTTAACAGAACGAACTTGCAGGAGGAAAGGGGCCTACAATTATGAACCGTTCGGAGCCCTCAAAACAGTCCATAGTTTAGAAATACTTTCAAGGTTAAAATAAATGTAATAGCTTTAACATAAGACCTCATCACAGTAGTACCTTTCATTGAGTTTTTTTATAGTATTAATATCATACGTTACGTATATAGTCTCGTTCACAAAACTAGAACTGATAAGAACATTTTAATACATTATCTGAAAGAACAGAGTTGATAGGGGAAATAATCCTCAGTTGTGAAAAGCATGAAGACTTTAAAAAGAAAATTATTTGGCCCAAATGCAAAAGTATTACATATTAACTCGTAACACATGCAAATGTATGTAAATTAGTATAAAATTTATAGTATGCTGCTGTTGAAAAAGTGCACATGGCAAGGCGCTAAGTCAAGTCACTGGTGTCAGTTTACTGCTCATTACAGTCAAGAGTTTTTTTTATAACCTTCCTGATTAAGGATGTCATTAAAAGCACAATCTGTATATAACCGTCACAGAAC